ATTGTCGATTTGTTCCAGGTAAATTTGTAATTTTGCAGATAATTACCATCATGATTATCAAGAAGATTTCCTCTTTTCTTGTCTTTTTCATTTCTAGAAGGACATGGCTCGTGCTTTTGGTGGTACTTTATATGCTCCACGCTATGTAAATACAAAAGTTGAATATATCACCCATCCAAAGACAGTCAACAGGTAAATGCTTCTGTATAAATGAATTCTGTAAACACCGAAAAACTTAGATAGCTTGAAAGATTTTGAAAGTTTCGTTTCGCCTAGTCACTTCATATAGTTCAATAATATATCCTAGCCGTATTTAACAGGGAAAGCTTAAGTTATTGTTTACCTTCTCCAAGTTGCTTTGAGCCAAAATGAAAATTGGACGAAAGGGGTCTTTGTCAGTTAGGTCAACTTAGTCTTGAAATAGCACATTAACTACGGCTCTTCGTTCAAAATGAAGTTGAAATGAATAAATTTAAGATCTGCACTATCACTATGCTATAGGAATAAGCATCTTCACAACCTTCAAAAACTTGTTTGGTCCTACTCAAGCATCATTGTCATGGCGGCGTTTCTTGTTATCAGAAAATGGAAAATACACAGTTCATTTCGCCAGCCATACAACTACTTCTTTCAGTGCAAATTGCTGATCTTATAAGAAAAATTAATTCTTCTAAATTAACATTCTCTTTCTTACTTAGTAGTAAACAAAATTTTCTCAATTTGCTTTCTCCGCTAGTTCTTCGTTAATTCTGCCATCCCTACTATTTTAGTTCCTGGCCTGATGGACTCCTCTTCAAATACGACGTGCAGACAACTCCTTCGAAGCAACAGCCAATAGATAGGTGCGACGTCTGGAGACAGATGATGTCGTCATTCCAGCGTACTAACGCGCATATTGGTTTGTTGCATTCTGAACAGTCCAAACAGAATACTCAACCTTTCTCTGCAGGAGGTGGATCACTCCGAATAGCTGACGACAGCGAGCAGCTTAATCCATGCCGCCTCGAGGAACCTATAGGCGAATGTGGCGGTCAAAGCTGTAAAGAGGCGCTGGGAGAGGTATTTCTATGGCCCACTTTGATATGGAGGTTCATTAATATTGAACATGGATTATCCCAGATTTGTTTGGCTGGATCTGTGTGTGGGTGCCCAGTTGGCATGCGACGAGCAGCTTCCACAGACGTTTGCCGAGCTGTAGAGACATGGAATGTGCCTCTTTGGGTTATTCGTAAGGAGAACAAGAATCTCGTCTACAACGATTCGTTTGCCAATCCGATGGACACGGTGTACAAGGTGGGTTTAAGCTCAACTATAACCTCCACAATGGTATAGCTGGAAGAACATCTAGCAGATCGTTTTCTTTTTAGTCCTATGTGCACGACTATGAGGAAGGAGTTGGTAAATGTTATCCCCATACTACCCTCAGAAACG